CCACCCATAGCATTATGCTCTCTCTGCTTTTTCTGATCATAGTTGGTCTATTCCCATGAGGTTGTGAAACCATCCTGGAGAGAATATCAGCTGTGCTGCTGCCAGCAACACCTTTGTTTATAAACGCATGAGCTTGGCCTGTTTTTTAGTGAAGTCAGTAAAATTTTTCCACATGTTGCTTAATAGTACATCATTTTTGCAATGTTTCTTTGCTAACATTTAGACTGAACAAAGCAGTTTGATCAAAGAAAAACAAACACAATGACCACAACAATTACTTTCCTTTAAGTGACTTTCGTCCTGTGAGTTTTTTTTTCTTTTCCCACTGGTTCTGTGAAGATCATAAAGTTATTAAAAGATGATAAAGAGCACTTCTTTCCATTCAAGTTTCATCTTTTAATATTTTAAATAAGGAATTTTTTTAAGTTCCTGTTTAACATTTTTTCATGGTGAAACTTAGACATATACGTCAGAGAAATCACAGTTAATTCCTTCATTTTTCTGTTTGGTGACAAATTGCTCAGATTTTTATTCTTCTATCTTTTAAACAAAAATTTTATAGGGACTGAAAAAAATGTTTGTTGCTTTTTGTTGCTCTGTCTTAAACATTTAAAATATATCACAAATACAGAGACAAAAAATAATAAATCGGTAAAATTGCTGCAGTTCTTGGAGGGTTTTTATTTCTAAGTAAACAAAATGCAAATTGGAGGTAGCCAGAAATAAGTTTAAAATTTTTCAGTAAATTGTGCTTGTGTGAGGTAATGTAAAAACAACAATTTTTTCGCTATTTTGTTCTTTACCAAAAGTAAATATGAGCACATTTCTTTTATTTTAACATGTCTTATTTGTACAGTTTAGATTAAATAAGGTTTTTCTAATAAATTTTCTGCATCTCGTACTTGTACTTGTACAATGTTCCAAATAATTTGGAGACAGGTGCTTCATTCAAACATTTTTTTTTTTTTTATATTTTGAAACTGATATTCATAAAGAACCTCATGTTGTGAGATATGTATATGTGTATGTATAGTTTGTGTGGGGGTTGCATTGATATAAGTCCAGAGCCCAAGGAGAAGGCACGTAAAGAAGTAATGGATTTATCTCCCACTTTCTGTAAAGCAACACCTATGTGTGTGAGACCTTTTAGTGCTGACACAAGACTCAACGCCTTTAAGGTCGGGGAAAAGATATTATGTTTCTGGTGTATGGCTGCAAGCACAAACACTCCAGTGCAAATGATGACAGAGATAATAATGACTACTGTGGCTGCTCATGAAACCACATGGTTCGTCTCAAACCAAGTTTGTCTAGACATGGGTTAGGAGGTGTGCAATAAGCACTTGATGCTCCATTTAAAATTCTAAGCACAGGCAGCCATCTATATGAGCCCCTCGAGGGTTAACTCATATTCAAAACCATTTAGCTGTGATTGATGTGGCACTCAGGGTAGGCCCACACAAGGCTGAGGTCGTCTGCTGTGCCTTGAGAGGTGTTGGGTACCTGAGAACATTGAAAATTTCAATAGGACAATGACAGGTGGACAAATGTTCGTTTTAAGTCACTTCAGTTTAAACATTTAATTAAGAATGCTCAATGTCTTGCAAAATTATTTTTCTCTTGCAATTTTATTAGGTGACAGCAATAAAAATAGTGACATAATAGTTGAATAGAATTCTGAAAATCCATTGTGCATTTGTATTGAGAGCATTTCAATATTATGTGTAGGATGACATACAGTGCAACCAAATGTTTCCAGAAATCCGCAGTTAAGCCAAGGCCAACAAATGACCTGTCCAGTTATGTTTCAGTATAAAATAGCTTTTCTTTTAAGGCCTTAAAAGTTTAAGAACATTAATAAATGAACAATGGCATGTCATCTTGTGATAAAAATGGCTTCTTTCTGCTTTACCAAAAAGCTAGTGCAATTCTGCTTGGATGAAGCCCCCATTTCTGTCCCCTTTAGTTTTGAACCCTCCCAGGAGAACACTAGCCAACGGACAGCAAATAAAGAAAACAAGCATAAACTAGCACATTATCACTTCCTAAGAGGCTGTAGTGAAAACAACCTGTGCCCAAATACAGCAAGGATTTTACAGTATCTGTGCTTCAAAACAAGTAGAGAAAAAAGTAGTATGTATACTGTCATACAGATTATTTTATATTATACAAAGGTCACTAATTAAAAAGGAAAAATACCGGCTATTTGTGGACCCACTTTGAAATACTTAATTAATTCCTGAGCAGAGATAAAGACATTTCTTTGACTTTTGCTCTATCATTAGGATGTTTTGGCTGCATGTGTGTCTCTGTCCATGGTGCTGAAAGACCAAAGTCTGTGTATTTTCAGCCCAGTTTATCAGTTATTACAATATAGATGCAAGACCAGTAAGTGATAAAATAGAAAAAAAAGTCTAAGGGAAAGATTCTATTTTATTTTAGCACAGACTATTGATCTAGATTATATAGTAAAATTTATGTGTATGGTTTGGACAGTTTTTTTTATTGAAATAAAAATATTTAAAGGGGCTAACGTGCAAATTTATGTTTTTTTTTCAGGATGAAACTGCTTAAAGAACTGTGTGACAGCTCATGAAACTCCATTAAAAAAAAATCTTTCAGAGGTTTGTCAGTCAGTAGTATAGAAAAGCATTTAAAAATGCTACTGAATATACTATGCACCCAGATTCTACTTGGAAGGAGGAGTCACTAGTGCAGTTCCACTGGCCCCTTCATGCACATGGAAAGTGTGGATAAACATTTTAAGTGGTTTGTCAGGTGAGCACAAAAATTATAGGTCTCTGATAGCATATTTTGAGTTTATATACCTTTGGGAACACTGGCGACCTGTCCAGGGTGTACCCTGCCTCTCTCCCATTGACTGCTGGAGATAGGCACCAGCACCCCTCGCGACCCCACTTGGGACAAGCGTGTAAAGAAAATGGATGGATGGATGGATGGATGGATGGATGGATGGATGGATACCTTTGGGAAAAATTAGAATCTGGATGCTAGCATAGTGGCACAAAGGTACATTTGGATTTTAGAACAATATATTCTGCCTTTACAACCAAATATCCGCTATCAAGAAAAATAAAATAAAATACACGAATAAAAAACATTTAACCATTATTCCGAAGGCTTTGCTTCAAAAGAGTTTGGTGCTGGTTCTGTGAAGGATTGAAATAGCTCCAGGATTGGCACTGGTTTAAAAAGGTTATCAGTTAATACTTGGAATATATACCTTTTTTTTTTTTTTTGCAAAAAACGAAAAAGGTTACTGACACTTAATGACTGTCATCTCTCTGCTCTGCTCTCATTACTTCCCAATGCCTACTTCTTTCTCTTTGATTCTCACTTTCTATCTTGACGTTCTCTTAATAAATGTTACATACACCATAAATATTTTAGCGCCACATGCAGATTTGATGGGGGCGCCACCATCCCACTGTCTTTCTTTAGAATCCAGTCCTTGTATCTGAGCATGATTGTGGATAGTACCATGTGTAGTTTATCCCCTTGTGCTTTCTGCATAAAAGCTGATCTGAAGACAGACCATCTACATTTGTTCAGTAACATTATTTCCAAAATAAGTTGAATCGATATTATGGGACATAATTAAAAATAAAATTAAGAAACAATAAAATTTATAAAAATAAGATTTTAAATGTAATTTCTTTTGACCACCCTTTATTACTTCATAAGTTTTTAGAAAAAAGAACAACAAGAAAAAGCAATAACATATGTGTTTCTACTTCAGGGCCAATGAACACTTAAGACATTAGAAGGAAATAATAATAATAATAATAATACATTTTATTTAACAGCGCCTTTCTTGACACTCATGGTCACTTTACAAATAATACAAGAAATAAATAAAAAGAGATGAAAATACAAAATACAGATATAGGAACATAAAAAACAAAAAAATGCCAAAGATTATTATATCCATCTTATCCATCCATCTTATTCCATTTAGACCACCTTGCAAAGTGAGGTTAAAACCAATTGTTTTATGTACTGACATAAATTTAATAAGGAAATCCAACTGTTTAAGGATATCCTGCAAAGGCAGTTAGAGATTTTTTTCACAGCTTGTGTGATCTTGGTTGAAAAAAGGAATAACCTGCAAATTCTTAACCCATATTATCACTGATCATTGGGTAAGGATGTGAGTGAAAATAACCATGTAGGTAAAAGTGCAGCCTAAAGCCTGTTGGTGTTTGACTTGTCTGTCTGACAAGTTCCCAAATCCTGTTCCACAACAATGTTTGCACCACAATCAATATAAAAGAGACAATGAGATGTATTTTTTGTGGAAGATTTTTAAAGAAACATTGATTGCTCTCCATAGATTTCAAAAGTCTGCATCTTCAACCTTAAAAATATGTGCTCTATCCACCACCTAAATGGCTTGAAGATGAGATTTAGGTGTGCAGGAATATAAGAGACACTTAACGGAGGACCTCCAGGCTGCTAAATAAAGCAAAATGTACTTCTTTAAAACCTCAGACTGATTCCCTCTGCGGAACGCACTGATGCAGTTATTCATGCTAAAGAAGCACCGATCGAATAAAGTGCAAATTATTTACATACTTTTCTGTCAGCTAATAATTTTCCTATAAAGCTCATATTGATGTAGTTGAACCTGTTAGTGATACCATTGCGGTAATATATAGGCTGAGAGTTAACTTGACCCATATTAAACAAAATGTGACAAACCCCCTTTAAGAAGCTTGAAGTGTGATTTCTCCTGTCAGGGAATCTGATCCGCACTAATGTCAAAGTGCACAGACACCTGCGCACTTAGACGCGCGCACACGCACAGGTGTCGCCATCCTGAAGCCTGGTGTGATGGATCCACAGCTGCACCCGCCGCCGATTTATTTTTTTTTTTTTTTTTGGCGTGAGCTCCGCTCCTGCTGACGTCAGGAGCGGCGCGGCGCGTTGAGGAGTTGAAATAGGGCAGAGCAGAAAGCAGAGCTCTGAGAGGAAACCAGCCGCGCAGAGCCGGAGGATGGCCAGCTGCTGCTGCTGCCGCTGCTGCTGCTGAGAGTTGGGGACGCGCTACCCGCCACCAGAAGCTATCAACACAGCTGCGCCTGATAGGCACCAGCCCATAATTATCCCGAGCCACACAAAAACCCACTGGGACTACAAATAGCACTGTTCGGGACAAGTCGCTGCGTGGAATCTTTTTATTTATTTATTTTCCTCTATTTGTGCTCTTTCCTCAGAGGACGACAGGTAAGGTGGCAGTTGACTTTATTTGTATTAATAATCTACAAGTTTATCTGGTTAATTGAGTTCGTTCATATTTTAATTGAAAGAAAAGGCAGGTTTATTTGTTATGCTCCAATAGTTGTATCTGAAAACATCATAGAAATCATAAGTAGAGAAAAATGCAGCTTTCATAGCGCAGGGGGATGTCAATGACACTCAGTGACAGTGTTAAACAACACGTCTGTTGTCAAACGATATGCTATAAATCACTCAGTATAGGAGCGCAGCTATAATAACGCACAAATGAAGAGCTTCAGATCTAATGGCATCACCATGAGGAACACATATAAACCCGTTCTCCTCCTTAACATATACCTCCCACTCTCAGATCATCAGGCATCATGTTGGCAAGACTTCATCCATTTACAATTGAATACCTTTGGGAGACATGCAGTTAAAGGGGGGCAATAAAAATACTCTATGGAGTCAAAAAGAGGAGAAAACCCCTTACCTAGATTTGCTTATCTGATTTTATTAAATCAGCTTCTTCTGCTAAGAAATGTCTCTAAGTGTCAGGAGAGGCCGGCCAAGCAGCAGCAAAGCTTCCGTGACGGCCAGCGGAGTGGGAAATGAGAACTGCTTAACGCGCACCCCTGTCATGAGATGCGGTGTTGGTGCTGAAAACCCTGCCGATCTCGACAGGATGCCCCCCTCTCTGCATCCAGACAGCCCGCAATATGAATAATTAGACAAAAACGGACATTTAAATTATAACATTGATTCTACTAATCAACGCAGGTGACTGCATGCGCGTATATAAACAGAAAAAAGCACGTGCAAGCACATGCAGGTGTCAAGATCACTATCTGAGCGTCTTTGTGAATGAAAATATCATTAGCTGTACCACTTTATTTTATAATTTCCTGCAACCCCAAGCCTTATTTTGGCTGTGATCAGTCTTTTTCACTGTGAAACAAACACGTGTTTTTAAATGCTGACTAAGAAGAGGTTCAATGAAGGGAAAACAACAGCATCAAAGCTGCAGGAGAACTTGAGATGAAACCACTTCTAATCACCAGTGATTACACAAGGCATGCCCCCAGGGTCGCCTTGAGAAATAATGATGTCAACCAGAATAGTGACTCAGCCTGGCATACTGTAGCTTGCAATCTGCTGCTTGACTTATTAGCTGCCTTCCAGAGAGTCATTACAGTGAGTCCGGCAGATTGTGGCTGGTTGTTGCTTCAGAGACGGGCTTAAGAGTGGGATGACTCAAACACACAAACACATGCATGCATACTCCCAATAAATCCCCACCAAAACATTTCCAGTCATTAGAGCGGAAATAGGCTTCAGGGGTGCTCCAGTGATAACCAATTAAACCATAAGCGGCTTAGAGAAGCATATGTGCATGAGAATAACTTATGTTATACTTTATAATGTATGGTGGTAGTAGATGCCTATATCCTGCCGCTGTTGTGTTATAAGCTTTTTCATGCTTCTACATGTTTTCCCTCGTATGCTATTCTTAATCTGGCAGCCTATTTATCCAGGTCTCTAGACTGCATTTAAATTCATCATCATAAGCATGTAATTGACCTTTTGAGTGGCGCTGACAAAATAAATGCTGCAGTGAGCTTTCCTACTTCACTAAATTACTACGCGGCGTCAATACCGCTGTTGTTTTGTCATTGTTAATGGACAATTTGATTTCAGATTGCTTTGATTGGGGCTGCTTGCAGACTGCGGATGAACAGATTGTTTGTACAAAACAAAACAATTGTGAAAAAACTCATGAATTAGTCTCACCTCAGTATTTTAATGTATTAAATATGACAAGATGAAAGATTCATCTCAGCTATTATAAGGCTGCAGATGGTTTTGTTGCTCAAGGACATTTGAGGTGCTTTGTTCACAGGTGCACAAGTTGTATTATTTAAAGTAAACATAATACGGATATAAACTTATAATCCTTAATGGGTCATACCTTTGCATCATGTTTTTTTGGATGCTTTTAGTTTTATTCACATACGTTAATATTTGTGAGTTTGCTAAAGGACACATTAGGATTCCAGTTTCCTTACTTGACGATAAACAGCTGAGAGAAAAGCCATTATTTTTAAAATAAGAAAAAAAAACATGTATTTCTTTTGAAATGTTAAAAAACGAAAAAAAAAAAAAAAAATTGCTTAGAGCCTCCACAAAAATCTAAATGTGAAGGTTTAACAGAGTGTTTTAGCATCCTCTCTTGCGTCAAAATAACTTAATGTATTAATTCTGTCTTTATGAGCTTGGCTTTTTCCCCCCCATGAGGTTAAGGACAGCCCGCAATGATATTGCTAGTTTGCTTTGGAGAAGGAGCTGCATGGCTGATTTCTGTGAGTGTTTGAATTGATTGAGTGAAGATGCACAGAATGCAGGGAGTTAATTTCCTATTTCACCATGTGCAATGCCATACTAAACAACTAATGTGACACATGTCTAATCACCAGGGAATGTAGTGCACCAAGTCCTGTCATGTTTCTAAAGTTTGCATGTCACGTTTAATGTGTAACTGTTTTCTTCAAGAACTGTGCAGTTTGAGATAATGGTTGTGGAATTCATTGCTGCACTGTTCCAGGACAGAGCATGTCCTGTTTATAAAGCTATTTATCATCTAAGTTTACTAAATCTTCATAATTCCTCATATGATCAAATAATAATCAGAATTAATTGATAACATACCGAGCCTGCAACATAGCATAACATTAAAGTTGCATTACGGGGTCATCATTTGAGGCACAGTTCCATAAATCTTGTAACAGCGAAGTGTATCATGAGCAGCTCAGAGTTACGGTGCTCATGTATCATGTCCACAACATGGGTTGCAGCCTGTCCTAGCTATCAATCAAATTGCGTTTGCCACAGTGTGAAAAGCAGATGAATGCACTCCTGCAGCCTAGAGTATTAACTTAGGACTTTTTTTTTGTGTCGATCTGCTGTGGATTAGATTGAGTATTTTTATGTGTTTTCCTAGCGGTGATGCAACCTTGGACTGTAAATTTTTTCCTTAACAAATTATCACGATGGTCTGATAATATTTTAAGAAAGAAGAAAACGGTGTGTGTGATATAGAGCATTGCATATCTCTGTATAGCATCTGTTTCTCTGAATTGTTTTTAGTTTTATTCATTTCCAAAGTTCTGTACAATGAAATATTCTTGTCTTAATTTCCAAGAAAAATGTTTTGTCGCCGGGTGATTTCTCTGTGTTACCCTAACTCTTATGTGCTGTATGATCCCTTCATCCCATATTTAAGCCTTAGCCCTGATTTACTCTTTCGCAGGAGAGCCAATGAGGGGCTAAAACTACTTTACTCAGAAGCATAACAACATTGAGTTGATTTCAAGACACTTATAGCTTCTATCCTTTACCAAAAAACACAGAGGCCATAAAAAAGGCATCACACATTTAAGTATTTTTTGAAAGGGAAAGAAGCTGTTGCATAAGTTGTGGAAAGTCGTTAAAAAAAGAGACATGATGGCAATCCCTTTAATATCTCATCCTGCTGTCTGGATGTTAACAGATGTAATGCCACTTTTTTCACCAACGATAGCAGTCTGTTCAGGTTTCTCCTTAACCCTGCTTTTGCCTGCATCTTTTGACAACTACTGATGTGGTTTAAGCTCCACGTCCAGCCGTCAGCATCATGAAGGGTTAATAGCATCATAGCCGCTATTAACCCTTCATGATTTTAATAATTTCCACTATTGTAGAAAACATACACTTGATGTTCAATCAGTTGTTAGATTCAAACTTTTAACTTTGCGTTTAGAAGAAAAGCAGAAACCTCTGCGTTGCTTCTAGGCACCTCGCTTCTTTTAGGTTTTTGGCTCATATCTCAGGAACTTAACACAGAGAAGAGACCCTATCACAGAGCTAGTAAGATCTTACAATGCCTGAGTCCCATCTAATGTTACTGTAAAAGTATTTTCCTATTAGTGAAGAATCCTTTCATGTTGAAGGTGGTGTGGATGTATTAGTTTTGAAAAATATCATTTTGATAACATAGTTGTGGCAAAATGGAAGAAAATTGTTTTTTATTATTTTATATGCAATAATGGCGTGAATATTTATGGATTGTTTTTAAAATGTAATTATTTGTTGGGACTAATATTCAAATCAAAGATCCTCTTGATCTAACACAGGGGTCTTTAATGTTTTCCAGGCCAAGGACCCCCAAACTGATGGTGAGATGGAGCGTGGACCCCATAATTTTATATATTGCATGAAATTGTGTTATATCAAACTGGTCCTGTAGTCACTCTATTACAGATGGATTAATGCAATGAAAGTAATTTTGTCGGGGGATTATTAAAGTATTTCTGATTCGGATTTATCGTTGATGGGACAAGTGTTGTAAATGAAACAGTGCTCACCTTGAAAGAGCTTCTGCGAGTCGCTGAATCTGTACATTAATGACTGAAAGACACCTTCTGCCTCCATTTATCCGTTTACTACAGTGTGTTGAATTCATGTTAATGTGGATTTAAAGACATTTCAATATGTGGAAAAAATTGCAGGGGGAATATAAAAAAAAGTCTAACCAACCAAAACTTTTGCGACCCCCATGCAGAACCTCTGTGGACCCCTAGGGGTCGCGGACCCCCTGTTGAAGAGCTCTGATCTAACAGAATAAGATAAGACACAACTACCGTGTGCCTGCTTTCTGCCTATTGTAAAGAGGCAAAACCAGAGAGGGGAGATGTCGCTGTTTGATCGCCTCCTAGTTTACCGTGAAGAGTTAAAACTTAGGGCTTTCTAAGCAAGTTTTAGCCTCAGCTATGGCAGTATCAACAGTAAGAACTTTGAAATGTATAACCACAGACTTTTAATAGCGTGAAATTGTTTCTGGAGGTTGAATACTGGATATTTGTGCTACACAGAAATAGCTTTTTTTCTGCGTTAGATCATGTGCAGGTGCTTCGCTTACAGACAGCAGCTTCCTCCATTTCATACCCTTCTGTATAGATAAAATCAGGAAA